GTAAAAAGTTTGTAATGGATGTTAAAAAAAATATTTTTTATTTTTTTATTAAAATGTTAAAAATAATAAATTATAAAAATCACTCATATAAAATTAATAATGTATAATAAATACAAATGTATTAATCGTTGCATATCTACTCGTGTTATACTGTTTTTTTAACACCCACTTACTGTTAATAAATAATTTTCTAATATCATGTTTGTAATTTGTACTTAAAGTAATTTTAATGATTCATTAATAATATTAATATTTAAAATACTAACCTTTTGGAATTAAATAAGATAAATAATTATTCCATAAATGTACTTTACTATGTATTTATTTAATTTGAAAGTAATTTTTTAACTATACGTAATTACTCTGAATCATATAATAACGGGCTACAAGTATATAAATTTATGAAGTGTATTAAAATAATAATAATAATAACAACATATAGTTAAAATACTCTGTAATAGGTTTTTAGTGTAAATTTTATTGTATAGATCTAATAACCTTAATCCATTATTGAATATAGAAAATATTATGCAGAATGATTTTAAGAGCAGTAAAAACAATGCGATTGTAGATGTAAAAACATTTAGTAGTAAAAGCTTTTTTAATTCATGAGTCATGACCCATCATCACAATATTTCTACCAGGAAATAAGTATATTACATTAAGTGCATGATACACTATGTAATACTTTGTTTAATTAGGTTTAGTGTAAAATTGAATCACCATTTAACTGTTATAGGATCCATAGTGTACGTCGACATATGCAATCAACTGCGAATGTGTGTTTCGTTATGACTTACGGCAATAATATGACAATAGGTTAATTTTTTCTTTTAATAACAAATAATTACTGGGCATGGATAGTAGTGTTAAAAAAAAAAAATAAAAAAAATTTTCAATGTATTTGATTAGGTATTAAATAAAAACAGTGTGCATATTATGCGATGACAGTCGTGTCATCGAAATTTCTAAAGAAAAGTTCATATAACATTGAAATTATTATGCCAAAAACGTGTTCACATTAAAGTGAAGCGTAACCAGAGAGATAATAATTTTATAAACATAAAATATAATACTAAAAATTAATTTTCCAAAACGAATTTGGTAGAGTTTGTACAACATTTTACGTAATTTGTAACGATATTATGCATTTATAACATTTAGGATCAAGTGGAAAACAACGATAACAATATGGAAAGAAATGTGAATATTCAACTTTAGTAAATGCATGTTTACTAAGCAATATTTTATTTTTATGGTTCGTAAAAAATATAATTTCACCCCGTATTGTCGTACAAACAAAATTAACTAGTATAATCGCGTGAAATATGAGTCTGAAAAACCATTAAATAGTAGCTTGCCAATATTAATGTGGTGATGGTGATTTTTATTTGAAACTTACAGAAAGTGTTCTATTAAAAACCATTTTTCAATAGCTAGTATGTTCCTTTTACGGACACGTTTCCACTAAATTTAATTGATTTTCGTCGAAAAACCAATAAGCAGACATGATGAAATAATATAATCTTTACATCCAGTCTTAGAAGAAGAATTGTTCAACAATAGTATTCTTTATTCCAAATCCTCGGACCAACATGTTTCCCTTGATGATAAATGTAGTATTTCGACCAAAGTTAATGGACAAGAAAAATTTCCATAGGAAAACGCTTTAGTGAATACTTGTACACTAGCGAAAGTGTTCGCACATATAAACCAATACTTTTATATTATTTTCATCCAAAAAACCACCACAGTGATAGTTTTTTTTTTTTTTTTTATAGCCACACGTAGAAATGCTATACGATATATTGTACTTGAAAAAACAACTTAAATTTTAAATTAGTATCAAAAATTTCCAAGAAAAAAAAGAAAAAAATGCTTTTTAGTTAAACTGTGTAATAGTCTATATTAATATTCATAATAATATATTATATTATTGTTACTGGTCTTAACTTTTAATTTATATTATATATTATAATTACCATATCTACCATTAATAAAATTATGTAATAATGTTTTTATATATTCTTTACTAGAACAGAACTAGAATAAATTTTGTTTGTAAAAAATTGTAAATTCATTCAATTATACTATCTTATAAGTATTTACTGTTGTCATAATTATTGTATTTCAGAGTTAAATTATGAATTTTATGCTGTAGAATAATATTTATCATTTCATTCTATACAAAAATTTTATTTATATACATGTAATAATATGTTCTAACAATTTTATTGTAATTTTACAATTTTTTTTTTTTTTAAATTTAGATACCTATATGACTTGATAACACTAACATTTGATGTGTTAATGTTATTTTATTTTATAATTAACTTGTTTCCATACGAAATATTATGTTACAATTATTTGAAATATTATTGTTTATAATAATATTTTAGTCATATGATATACTATAAATCAAAGAATGGAACTAAAAAATTCAAACATCTCTGCGTTAAGTTAACAGCAAACAGCAGAGTTTATGTTCAATTTTTTTAATTTAATTATATTGAGTATATAATATTATGTTGTATACTAGTATATTTTCATAAAATGGTTTAAAAAATGTATTTATAGTTAAATGTTAGAATGAAACTATAAACTTTTATACCTTTGGGAGTAAATAAATTTTTGTAATCTCAATTCACGTATAAAATGTTTTAAAAAATTGGACTAAAAAATATTTTTACGTTTATTTTTTTTTTTTTTTAACTATAATGGTAAAATTATATGATTAATATTAATTCGTTTGTATAAAAAACTCAAATTTAAATTTAAAATTGTATTAATCACTTTGATGCAAATACAATTATTAATATCATGTTGAACGTAACACTAAAGGATAAAAGTAAATAATTACTTTCCCAATACCTGATTTATTATTATAATTACTAGGCATGTATTTAGTGCGTGAATGACAAGAAAAATATTAATTGAATATTTTTATTTATTGTGACCTAATTTACACAGGAATGAATAGAGGGATCAAATATCGGAGAAACCAAAATGGCGTTTGACGTCAATTGGAATTACTCAAGTTTCAAAATTCAATTGACATCTCCATACTGAACAATTTATAATAGAAAAAATAGGTAATTAAGATAATCTCATATGACATTAAATTTAAGTATAACTCATTTTCTTTAAAGATAGAATTTAAAAAATAAAATAATATCACATAAAAATGGGAAATGTTCCCCACACTAGTTAGTTCAAAATATTTAAAATCGATCAATGCTATTGGAATATTATAATATTATATATTATTTATATTGATAGAAAGAAATTATCTACAATATATATACTTAATAACTGATTAAGAAATAATCACGAACAGTGAGTTCAAAATTGATAGAAATATTTAAATTCTATATTATGATCAATTACCATTAACATATATGTTATTTGATAAAATGATGTATTTATTTATGTAAATAAAAAAAAATGATAACCTACTAGATATTAAAATATACAGGTTGAATTTACTACTGAAGTATAAGTAGGTATTTCATATTCTAATTATTTGAAATTTGATTTATTATATAAATTAAGTACTTAAAATAGCATTAAGTTATTTTTTTTTAAATTGAAAACTTGTTATAAAAAAATATTTAATTTTATTAAATGTTTAATTTTTTTAGTATTATTTTTATAAAACTTATACAATTGTACCTAACATTTTAGATTACATTGAATTTTGTTAGAGTATCTATTATTTTAGAATGTGTATTATAGTTTATTATCATAGGATATCATTCGATTAATTTTTCTGTAAAACCCATTGGTATTATATGTGTAATTAAATATTAAAAATTTATATTAAATATTCATTTAAAAAATAAAAATTTAAACTTATATTATTTGCATAAATATGAAAATTGTTATACATTTATAAACATAAATAAACAAAATGTTCTATTAATCTGATTTATTTAAACAAAATCTGAAGTTTCAATTTAAATGCTATTGTAATAATCTTGACTATAAAAATTTAGGTGTTCAATCATCTTAAGATTTATAGGTACATCATAAAGTATTTTAGAAATCAGTAAATTATATTTAGAAAACTTCGTTTATATTCAGTCAAGATTTTTAAAAGTGAATATTAAAATATGCTCTTTTGTTCAACTTTATTTTGATTTCGTTCATATTAAAATCTAAGTAGGAATTTTTATTAGCATAAAAAAAAAAAAAAAGTACAGTTTACAGTCGTATTTTATATAGATTTGTTTGTGTTTTGAATTGTTTTTGCTTGTATGTTATTGACTCAGAGAACACTAATGACAGCCAAAATACTTTTTATTTTGTTAAATTTATTTTGAATTTCGTTTTTTTCTTTTAATTATAATTACTTTAATAAAAAAAATTATATATATATATATATCATATGTTTAATTATTTAAGAATAGTTAAAAAAAGATAAAAAAAAATGATTGACAGGATCCATGACTCATGAGTTTGGTCAAATTAAGATTGGCGATATATAAGTTGATGAAAATCATGAGGATCATATTAAGTGTAATTAAAATAAGTCAGTAAAAATCTATGTCAAAATATTTAATGCATTAATAGAATAAAAATAAATAAAGAAACCGTATTTCGATAAAAATTAAACCTTAGCGTTTAAGCCAATAAACTCAATCATCCTTACCCCTTTAATTTATATATTTTAAAACATGTCCAAATAAGATCCCCAAAGACTTTAATTTACTGTGACATTTAACCAAACGAAGGACATAAATTTTAAAACTTAAGTGCCTCGCTACAATAACACAATCTAAAATAACAACAATAAAATGGTGTCGAACGATGCCGAGCTCAAAGGATTTATGATTTAATATATATTCAAATTCCAAATACAGTTTACGACCGTAATTATTGTTATAATAAGATATATTTACACTCGCATTTATTAAATTTAGTTACAAGGTATACTATATAATATAAATATATCCCAAACAGCGTATTTATCGATGCAAATCACTTAAGTGAGTACTTACCTGAGTGTAGGTCATCCAGCAACAGGGTTCTACTTGATTCGCGTCCAGACCCCAAAATTCCAATTCCTCTTCGAACAATGGCCCGCAAACATCCGTCGGGTAATGAAGTTTACCCGTCCTGGAAAACAAAACAACGCCGTTATATAAAGTTCAAACTTAAAATTGCATGATGAATTGCTGAATAATTTATTGAACTTTAATGAATATAAACGTAGTGAATTATTCGATATTATATGTACTTAAAGTATTTTTAACGGATTAAGGAAGTTCACGAGTAGATTAGATATAATATGCTAAAATATTTCAAAACAACAGGTATAATTGAAAAAAATATAATATTATAACAAATCTATGACGTTTCTACCAATATTAGTTATAGCTGTTATAACTAAAATGAGAATTTTCAATATAATATAAAAATTAAATTATTATTAAATTTCAAAATTTTAAATTGTTGAAAAAAATATGGCTATAGAATAATAATTGGTATGGAATTCATAACATTTTTCACAATGTTTAGCTAAAAACTTTTTCTCGTCACTTTTTCCATCTTTGAAATAAAAAAAAATATATCCTATACATTAAAGCAAAAAAAAAAAAAAACTAAAGCAAACTTTAGGATAAAATAATAAAAGCAGTATTTTAAAAACAAAATTGTATATGTAGATGTTTTCTTTTAAAAATATTAGGTATATATGTGTAATATTTAGAATATAACTATACAAAAAAAAATGAAGATAATAAGTTAGATTAAAATTCAGAATCACTTTATTGTAAAAACTGTATAATATAATTAAAAACATTTCATGTTTTTATCTAAAATGTATAGATAATAAATTAGTATACTACTTAAATTTATATAGAATGCTTCGAAATTTCTCTCTCCCAAATACCAATTATACTTCTCTGATAATATTTTCTTACGTTTGATTATACCAATTTCTAAACACAGTTAATCATTACTTAAATTTAAAAATACTTTTTATTTAGTTGAAAAATATAAATTATAAAAAAAATGTCGATCCTGGCTACAAAAACTGTCGTATCACCTTCATACTGCGACTCATATGTCTTTTTTAGCCACGGGCTCTCAACCTGCAGCATCCTTTGCACAAACAACATGGTATACACACACTATAAAAATAATGTTAGTTTTATTAATAGTATTAAGGTATAATTTATTTCATTTTTTTTTTTTTTTTTGTATCATATAAATAAAATATAAGACGATTAAAAATTTAAGATTTTACATAGATAGCATTTTAAGAACATTTGAAACGATTTTACCACTAGGTTTGTGACTTTTTGAGGCCGCGATTGCTTCTAATAACAATCAAAAATTTTGATCCGTATGATTTATAAACGTTGAACATTTATTTATAAGTAATTCAGATAATAAAAATGTTTTTTATTAAATCATTTTCATTTTGATCTAATCTAAATCTGCAGTTTGACAATTTTAAAAACTTTTATACAATGTAATTAATTATTAACATACGTACTTATTGTTGAATTGTAACCCAAGCCTCAGATTTAATGTTCAAATATTTATTTAGTTTAAAATTAAATTAAATTTTTGGATATTTTAATATTATGTACATCAAAATTTGAACTTTGTTTAGTATGTTAAGTTAATACAATAATGATAGTAATAAAATATTATTGTATCGGTTACAGGCGTACAGTGATTAAACTACACATTAAAAAAATTTTGTTTGATATGACTTTTTCTGTCGATAAAACATATAATCTATTAACACTTTGTTTTAATAGTTTTCTCTATGATATGAATGAACATGTATACCCACAGAATTGTGGAAATCATTAAAATATTAAATCTATAATATGTAGATTCTACAAATTTTATAATTTTAGACCACTCGCAAAAACAGACCCTACTATACGATACAATAATAAAATAATAAAAGCACATAGTACAGTTGAGATAGATTCGTAGCGGTGAGTGATCTATAGAAACAACGAAGCATTGTAACTTCTACGTGTTCGTATAGTATCATTACTAGTGTAACAAAGTTTTTGTGGTGTTGGAGTCACGTATTGTGAAACATATATATAGTATTTGGTACATTAAGTGTATATACAGGTAATCGTAATATGTACAGTACACAGAAACACATGCATAGGTCAATCTAATCATCGATTATCTGAGCAAAATCAATTGTACTGCATTTCTGAGTATTGTATTACATTTTTTCATATTTTACATATCACGCCATGATATATTATTATCGTCAACTAGCTGCGTATCACGCACATGAGCCCAATTTAACTGCAATCGATATACGGGATGATATTTTAACATGGACACGCACATTTTTTAAGTCATTGTTAAAAAAAAAAAAAATATATATATATATATATATATATATATATACTGTAAATAATTTAAAATAAAATATTACATAAAAATAATAATAAATATATTTTAATCATTGTGGTTTTTTAGTTTTCTAATATTTTTTTTTAATTCTCAGAATGTTTGTTGCCGAATGTTTGAATTGATTGAATTTTCACAAATTGATCACTCTGTATAAACTTTTATACTCGTCTACTGATGGCACCCTTTTATCTATGGCCTTTTTATTCTTTTTGATGCTCGTCTCTATGCTTGCTGCCTCGATGTTTTCCTTATCATGCTCTTCTGTACCACGATCTTCTGCACCACCACCTAACCCGGTTTAATGCCTTACTTGTCGTCTGAGATCGTATATGTGGATGGTAAATTCATTTCATTCTCCCTATCAAAGTGTACGCCACACAGACATGTATATATATAATATATATACATGTATAAAATATTATATTGTATATCACGTACAAGCTCTGACGACACCACCGCAAAACTGCAGGTCTCAGCTGCTAGCTTTGCCTGTATAATAATATATATACGACACGCGTATATCATACAAGACGACGTCGTAGTGCATTCCGATCTTCTATCCACACCACACCACATTCCGGAAATTATTATAAATTTTACCGGGATTAGAAAGAGAGAGATTAAAGAAAAAGAAGGATAGACACTATGCATATATAGGAGACCACTTTAATTAAAGTATGAACTACAATATTTTGAAATTTGGCATGATTTTTAAGAAAATATTAGCATATTTCACTTGAAAATACAACCATAAAATTAATCCTAACTTGTGCAATACTCACTGAAAAATGTTACCATTTTTAATGTGAATTATAATATTTACGTTATTAAATATTTCCCGAAACTGTGTCACATCGTTTATTGAGTTAACTATTATATTTACTTTTATTGAAATTTAATGATGTAATATTATCAATGTATTAGTATATATTATTTATTTTTACAAAATAATAATTTATAGTTTTTAAATATGTTAAATTATAAAAAAAACTATTTTTGTCATTCATAGTATTTAACAGGTAATAAAAATATCCTTAGGTATATAAGATTTTAATTTTTAAAATAATATTTTATTCAACATAATATCGAATCATTCAACATTTTTTTGTTAGCAAATATTTTGACCTTGTAGGATAAGTTCGCATATTTAATTTTTATTAGTATTAATCTAGTTGTGTTTTTAACAATTAAGTACATCTGTTACAGAAAATACTCACAATGAATATTAAACGTAGCTTCTATATGATAATATTTAGGATGTATTATGTTATTTTTTTAATAATGAAAAAAAATAATACTTTTACACATTTCTGTTTTTTTTTTTTTTTTTATGGATAGATTGTCCATGATATGATTTAATATAATTTGACATTTCATAAATAAACAAAATGTTATTTTTATTCTTTGGAAGTATACTGTTTCTTACTCTATATAAATCTATGTAAAACTCAGTTAAAAGTTTATTTTGAATTTAGTTAACTCGAAAATATATAGATCAATATTTTTGACGTTAATTTATTTATGTATAATGTAGCGGTAAAAGTATTTTTTATTGATCCAAAATTATCTATCAGACCATAAAACGTGATAATTCACAATTGAGTCATTCTGAATCTAGCAATCATGGTATATATTTAAGTGTTATGAAATTCTGAACGAAAAAACAAATTGTAATAAATCTTTTGATAATACGTTTGTACAGGAGAAATAGTATATATGCACAAACATTTTTAAAATATATGTAGCTTTTTTTTATTGTTTTATTATTTTTCTTCATTAATGAATTGAAAATATCATTATTTTATGATACCTAATAGAGAAACATATTGGTAGCGTAAGTGTTTTATTTCAATAAGTTTAATACCCTAATATGATGTTCAGTTTTTATTCAAATATCAAAAACGTTGCTATATAAAATATTTTATTTCATTATTCTCAGATTTTATGGACCGAAATAAGCAACAATGAATATGAAAAAGTTTCTAATTTAAAACCATCACCCACATCGATATTACACTCTGAGATTTTTCACAAATACGCATATATTACACATTTATTATAAATATAAAAAACATATTACCCATGATAAACATCAACATATAATTTATAAACAAAAATCATTCTCAAAATAAAAATCATTTCTAATAAAAATTAATATTACGTTAATACATTAAATATAATTTTATTGTTTAATCCCAAGGATTAAATTATTATATTTATATTATTAATTGATCATACTGTGCAGTAAAAAGTATGTGATCCGTTTATATTTTTGATAATCAAAGATTTTATAATATTGCAACAAATATTTTATTAAAAATTAAATGCCGTTTATCCATTTACGAGATTAATTTTTATTATCTCAAAAAGCACGGTTTTAAACTGGCACAGTTCAAATGATGGTAAAATATCAATTTTAAAAGCAAAAATATCATACTGTAAATAATTATCACTTTACCTAATAATAACAAAAATCTTTCATTATTTATTTATACTGTTTTTTCAGTTCTTTTGACTTCTTCTATTTTAAAATAAACTACTTGTGTTATTTATTAAAAATGAAAGCTCTCTTTTAATTACAGATAATGGTCTATATCATATTATAACGTGATACATAATACAGGGTGAACCACAGTATAAAGGTTAAGGTCAATGATATTTATGGCTTTGAACTTTTAATTTATACAAACTTCTAAACCGCCCAAAATGACTTAATG